GGAATTAATCATTTACTGCTTCGGAAAAAGAAATTGACATAAAGCCATAAAAATAATCATCTCAATATTGGAATAAGAATTATAGTTCAAAAGGACAGGAAACGTTTATAGCACAAAATATTTGAATGGTAATAGAAGATGTATATCCCAATAATGTATTGACGGACAAATGGTTTCTGTATAACACGATCCTAAAATCAATCGGATTTTCTCGTGGAGAGATTACGGAATTTTCTTTGGATTTTATCTTGATCCTTTGAAATGAATGGTACCCAATATGGAAACAAATAGTGCTTCTAAATATAATGTAGTTTTTCTAGATGCATTGTTTGTTGTTTATAGATCTATTATCTGCATTTTAATAGTGTTTTCTAACATTTTTCATTTTGCCGATTGCAATTTCTTATCATTTATTAGAATATCTTTTATATTAAGTTTAAGGAAAATCCGAAGTTAAAGAATATTCCATTCATAGTGTTTCAACTGTCATGGAAATTAATTCACCCATTGTAATAATAAAAGTGGCTCTCAGCAGTGAAAAAAATAGTACAAATGACATATAATATTGTTTCTGATTGTATAATAAAAAATATATCAACTTCATTAAACGTTTCAATAGAGTGACAATTGTGTTATTTTCTGAAAGTAGCCAAAAAGCCTACATACTTAGAAACTTGTTATATCTGTAAACAGATTAACCAAAAAACTCGATGTATATCACTATAGATATGACCGGATCACCGTGTTCACAAACTCTCAACTATTTTCTGTGACTATTTCTTCATTTAGAATGATTTTATTTGTCAGAAATTTGTCAAAAACTGCACATACTCTGTTTCATTTGGTTAACAACTAAATCTCTAATATTATCTTTCTTTTACAAAATCGTCATAAGTATTTAATTTTGTCTATTTGTGTCCAAAATTAATGTATAGTAGTAGTTAACAAAGGTTTGTGTCATTAATTTTGTATGATTAATTATAATTGCAATACTAGTATTTTGAAAACGAGAAGACTCATAAGTTGCTATATCATGTGTCTGATACTATTCATTAAGGTGGGGGTAATTGTTCTTAAGTCTTTAGTTTTCCTTGTTGTGTTTTGTCGACTGGTGTTTTAGTGGGCTTTTTTTGCAGTGTTTTATCATGAAGTTATCGGTTATGCTTCACTTATGATTTTTGGTTCTCTCTTTGGTTTGTCAAAGTCAGCTTCTTTTGTGGGCAAATGGAACAGTTGTAAACTAAAACTAAACAACTTGTTGCTTTGTTACTCTATCGTTTTATAACATCATTCTGCTGCTGCTGTTGTAAGTGCTCTATCCGATTGATTTCAGTTGTGAATTTTCTCTGCACTTTTGTTATATAACTGATCAAATTGATATAGAGTCACACTAGTTTCATCTCGGACAAATATAAATGTGCCTGTTCCAGGAATCTTGTTATTTTATCGTTATCTAAAAATAAATGTTAATCTGATTTTAGTAAAAATTTTGAATTGCATTAATTAGATTGAAAAAAAGATATTAGATTAAGCTATATCATAATGAATTTGTGATTGCTATAAAATCATCAATTTCCATGAAAATGTCGGATAAGTCTGTTGGAATAATAGCCTCTTAATCAATGCCAGCTACAGGAACATAAATAATAGAAAAGGCATATGCCTTCCTTGAATTAAACGTCACTTTTCAACAGTTAATATAGCCTTAAACTCGTTTACTGTTTTATCAGATAATTTTCAGCAAGACTCCAATCAAAAAAAGAGTCAGTCGATGACTTAATGAATCTTAATGCATGTATTGGGAGCTGTTTAATTTAGTAAATTGTTCATTATGATAATTGAACCGGTTTACTTGATTTTTCATGTTGACAGGTTTGCTTTTTTCAATACAGTAATAGTTAAAAGAAAATATTGGAAAAAACTTGCATGCTGACAACACATCGTATACTTGATCATTTTCCTAAGAAAATTGTTCAATCAATATTCATTCAATCACAATACGACACAATCTTATAACAGCTTTCTTTACATTGAATTATTCAGCATTAAAAGAAGTCTTTCGTAGAAAATTTACTACCATAGTGTATTTCTATATTCTAACTGGTAATTACTTTGTATTAAACATGTCGTCCATAGAGTTTCTTCGAATAAGAATAAACAATAAAAAGAAGAGTGTGTTAAGTAAGCATATTATTAGCACGTAAAATCAAGAATTTCCAAGCAAATATTGATCATGAATTCTTAAAGACAGACTGGAGTAAAAGGACACCATAATTGGTAAATTTGTTTTGATGGGACTCCTAAAAGCCTCTTTAAATACGTGTGAGCATTGTTCGTTCTTTTTGCTTAATGAAGTTGATAAAAATCACTGAAAATGTTTTTTTCTCATATAAACCTACACATGAGCGAGTTCATTTCACATTTTTATGGTCAATTAATTTTCTTCTATATATACGTCTCATTACCATCGAAACGTTACTCTAGAGAATAGCTTCATTTAAAGAGACCTCAATTTTTAATGGTTCTAACGTTAGCCATTATAATTTATTTTTGGATGTCTTTTAGTAAGTGCAAATGAAGTTAACATTTTATAGATAATAATACATAGATGAGAGGGTGATAGAGCAGATTGTTTCTCCGAGAAAACATTATCAACCGCTCGAATAGAAGCAGATTGTTACCCCGAGATAAACCTTAACAAAGTTTTTCGAGTGGTAACAAATCTGCTCTATTACCCCATCAGGTCTATTATACCGAATGTTGTATAATTATTGTCGTTTGAATTTAATATCATCAAGGATTTGTAAAGTTAGACTACACAAATCCTTGATATCCTTGTCATGTAAATTATTGATTTTAAATATCAGTTTCTGCCTTTAAAAATTATTAATTTAAAAATTCAATTATCGTCTTTTAAATTTATTGATTTTTGGTTGCTCTGCAGATGTAATGACATCAATTAAATAACCCATAGCTTAGAGAGTGATAGAACAGATTGGAATCCATCGAAAAAACATTATCAACCGACGCTCAGCTATGGGTTATTTTATTCATTATGCTGAATGGTATATCATTATTGTCTTCTTAATTTTAAATTTTAAACGTTACAGTGATTAGAAAGAAAGAAAAAAATGAAGCAGAGTATATTTTGACAGTCCGAGGCCGAAACGGAGATATTGAGTTAGTTCATTGTCTTTTTAATACCGATTTTTGATTAGTCTGCACGAGAGGGTGACCTTCAAAAATTTGTCTCCCGCTGAGCCATTGGATAGCGTAAAATGTCTCCCTTGTATTAACCAATGAAAATCAACAACAAAAATGAAAATTAACGTGAAGTATAAAAAATTGCCAATGTCTGAGCCATGTGTTCAGAGTAGAATGTCGCCTTCGTATTTACAAATAAAAAAAACTGAAATCTTCGTACAAAATAAGTTGGTGAAATAAGGACACACCGACATATTTACATATTTGTTAGATGTTCACATTAGAATAAATTATAAATAATGTCACGCTATTAGTTTAGATTTCCATTTACAGTATATATAAATGCTTCTTCTGTTATCATAAATAAATAAATAAATAAATCTGCAATTCAAATATTTAGATGTCCGAGTCGAACAAATATTTTAACTATACACGTAAAGGGGCCTAAATAGAGCAATCAAAAAGAGAAGTCAACTTTTTTCTGCCAAAACAATGACCACCGAGTAGGCGATTTTCTCTAAAACACACAGACCACCATCAATATTATCGGAATTGTGGTATAATAAATGAATATCTTTCTGGAGTAAGATAAACCGTGTTTTCAACAAAAATGCTAGGAGGCTTTAAAATCAAAGATGCAACAATACATAGAAAGCTATATAACAAAAATGAGAGCAATTATACTTCATACCCAGATCAATATTGTTATTCCATGAGATTTAAGTTTAAATTAAACCTAGACCAATAATTTTAACAGCTGTTTGTTGACGAGAAATTCCGATTTGTCTGAACAGAAATGTGATATTGAAATAAAAAGCAAACAATTTGAGCACTTTTACCCAGAAAAGGAAATAAAACTATGCAAATAATCAATAGACATAAAATGAAAAACGTATAGTTATGGGGATATTGAAGTAATGAAAGCTTTAGTTGAAAATAACCGGTAATTAATTTAGGTTTTTTTTTCATTTTTGTATTGTAGAGCAATGTAATAATGCTTAACACATATACTAAAACCGAAATTTGTAAAATGTGAACGAAATAATGCAAGAGGATTGCTTGAATTTTCTAAGACTAACTTCAATGTAAATCGATATTAGTCGAATTGCAAGCACGTTTTTCAATATTTAAAAATGTATGCAAGGATATTAATATACTTAACAGAAAAATGAAAAATTACTATAACATAAATATCTTGTAAAAGTAATTCATTATCGAGAATTAGCTTCAGTATCAAACAAAAGAATTATTAATTTTAAGTTTTCACTGTTATTTTGGATACAATTTTTATTTCATGTTGCAACAAGTTTGGAAATTTCATGTTATAATAAAATAGGACGCCTCTCTTGTATTGCATTCAAAATTATTCACAATTTGTTGTCATATTTCGAACCTAAATTTTCTAGTGTACTACCCTCGAAATCTGCTGAGGCTTGGAGCTGAAATTCAAATCGACTAGTTTGCTTCTTTTCTTGTATAAATATTAATTGCCATCTTTGTTTTTCTAAATAAACGAAAGCAAGATTTGAAATGTCTTTCAAAATCACTCCATGCTTAAAATTATAGTACGTATATTATATATATTTGATATAATGAAAAGAACATAAAATGCATTTAAAAGTAAAAGATGATAAATAAAAGCGGTTTCTATTATCAGATTGCAAATTGTTCATAGAGCCAAAGAGCAACATGGTAACAACAACTATTAAAATTGGCACAGTATATTATGCAGTATGAACATTATGACCAGGCCATACACCATTGGTTCTCTAGTCTTAAAAAACTCTGCAACTTACCTATTCCTGCTCCAACCACAACACGCCCTGCCAGGAGAAGGTACCTGTCTCTTGCTATACCCATACATAGCGCACCAATTGTGAAAATAATACTTGCGGACATTATAACCGGTCGACGTCCTGCACGATCATTTAAACATCCCCCTATTAAGGCAAATACAGCTGCAGCGGCGACAGTGACACTAACTATTAGTTCTTGCCATACGGATGATAGGAGAAACTCGTTACGGAGAAGCATCATAGCACCAGAGATAACACCGGTGTCATATCCAAACAAAAAACCACCAAGAGCAGAGAAAAATGTCAAAACATAAACAAACGTTGGTGTTTTCTTTTTAGGAGCAATGCTGTCAATTTTAAGATCCAATTTTTCATCGTCTTGGTCATCATATAATGATTGTGGTCTCCGTGTTCCATTTAACTTCCTCATTTTGAAAAATAATAATTTGTATTCCTAAACACGCTCGGTGCATGCGACACTGGTAATTATTCCATTCCGTAGCAGCAACAAATGGTTTAAAATTGATCAACAGATGAGGGAAATAACCCAGTGAGCACAGCCAATCTCAATACATCACTGAAAACATTGCTTCTTTTGTTGATTATTTATTGATTTTATATTGACATGTGTGTATAATGAATAACGATAGTTCCATATACCCGATTACTGACGTCAATCAATCGAACCTAACTGACCAATAATATTCTCAAACTCAGGAAATAATACCATATACCTGGAAAACCAATCACATCAAACGTGAAGAATTTTGATTCCCTTTCGGAGATGTCTTTAGTAATTATCACTTAGATCAAGAGACAGCTGCAATAGCTTCAGAAAACTATAAACGTTTTGGAGAGTTATTGAAATTTGAAACTAGTTTACATATGAATTCCACCATAATCCCAATATTACATTTATTTGACTAGTATAATTTTACATTTTACTTTACAAATGATCATGCGGTTTACCATTAATTCTAAAGGGAACGTTGATATTTCCAATATCGTATCAGATTTTCATTTTAAAAATTTATAGCGTTTCTATTTATACACGAGTTATTCATTTCTATGGTTTTCAGTAAAAATCAATTGATTTCATTAAAATACAGTGTAAATAAATGGACACCTTGCTTCACTATGAAAGTATTTGACTGATTTTTAAAACAGAATGAAAAAAAAGCTATGAAAATGAATAATATGTTGAAAATTTCATAGAACATTATCAAAATGCATTAATTTTTTAATGAAAGGTTAGTAAGGGAAAAAATCAAATCAGTGTTGTTGACATTTGAGAGATGGAAAAGCAATCAATAAAAATGTCAGGAGTAAGATGTGTCATTTATTCAAAAAGTTGGTCAAGCATTATGAATTTAAAATAAGACTTTATATATGTTTTTTACGTTGTAATTCGATTGAATTATGTAAATGTGAAAAGCAGTTAAATCTGTTTTATGCATTTCACCATATTCATCTATATCGCACAACCATTGGTGAAGTTTGGAATTTTTCATTTACAAAATGTTAACCTTTATTGCACTTAAATTTTAATTCTAATTATTGAAAAGTTTACCCTACTCCCCCTGAAATGGAGAAACGGTTAATAAATTTATGGTGGCTTAAAATTAGAACAAACATTGGACTATCATATGGCAAGTTGTGGCCCACTAATTGATTTGTTATATTTTTAACTTTTATGTTTACAATTCATATGTAAAGTTCACGAGGACATAACACGCCCGCTCCAGTAATCGTTGTATTGAAATGTATTCCGAAATATTGAGAGAAAATCGTCTGTTGCAAATACCACATTACACGTTATTGAGCTACGTTTTTATTTTATTTTTGACGATTCAAGTTCAATAACTCTAGAACGACGAAGGAAAACATCGTCTAAAATTATACAAACCCCATTTTAATATAAGTTTGAAGTAAATTGTTTCAGTATAAAGCGTGAAAATTTGCCATATTTTTGAAGGATAAAGTCCCATAACTCCTGAACGAAACGCAACGTTAGATAGTGGCACTACCACGAAAAAATAGCGCTAAGACGTCGCGTACGGTGTTGGTAATAATACGTGTTTTGCTTTTCATTTCGCCTTTATTGTATTTGTTTTGTGAGCTTCAAAAGTGACAAGGAAAAAAAAAGAAAGAAAAAAAGATCCACATAGTCTAGTTATTATATAATTAGTATATATAGTGCGTATACAGTAAGTTTTTCGGGGGAAAAAGTAGCGCCAGTATCAAAGGAAAAAGATGGAGCTCTTTTATTACAACAACAAATACTGATAAAATCACAGCATTCTGTAACATAATGAAAAAGCACAATACACTGAAGAAATTAAGAAAAAGTCCCAGAGTCACCAGGAACGCGCTTGTCTACATTCGCAGCATATCTTCAAAATGAAAAAATCGCCAACTGTAAAACCGCTTCAAAGCACCAATATTATATATCCACCAGAGGAAAATAATGAAAACAAACTACAGCAGGTCTAGCAGTTCTTGAAGATATGATTTTAGCGATTTCAGAGACAAAACTAAAACGAACAGATCAGGCAAGAGCATCAATTAACGTTTTAAGCGCGTCATTCAGCGGCAAATGCTAAAAAAAATTACGATAAAAACTTTCCCTAGTAAAACAATTGGGTGTACCTGCAAGGCGTGTAAGGTCCGGCTTTACCATTCGCAATAAAATTTTTCATAGTTTGTTATCCTCTCAGGTATACACAAAGAGAAAAGTAAGATCAGATGCCCTTTCGGATTCAAATAAAAAATTAATTCATGGCTTTTGGTTTGACGTGAAAGAGTGCCTATTGGACCAAAAAATATTCAAGTCACCATGTTTAAATATTAGAAAAGACTCAATCCGAATTTTTTTATAGATTTTAAACATAAATACCCGTCTGTTAAAGATTTTCAACGTTTGTTTGAACGCTGTACGCCTAATTTTGTTCGTGCCGCTAGCACGGAAGATCGTGTAACGTGATGTTGCAGATATCGCTTAGAAATAAAATGTATTTTTAAAGCTGCCATGAACAATCGTAAAAAATCTAAAAAAAATAATGCCAAGTAACGCAAAATTTCCCGTTTATGCTTCTGTGACTGATATGCGTAATGCAACTTTATGCAATCCTAATGAAAACGGGTTTCATGATCAGATATGTCTAGATAGAAATTGTCCGAATTACGGAGTGAAACTTCTCAAGTTCTGCGATGAAAAACTAAAAACTGATGACTCCAGTGAAAATAATAATTAAATAAATTGAATATATTAATCAACATACAAAAAACGGACCAAAAAAGAAACTTATGCCTGTAAAGAAAAACACAAAACCTGGCTTAATGGTTCTTGGCCTAAAAAATTAGTTTTGAAAAGTTGCTCAGCAATTAAAACAACCACAATGGCACAGTACTTTAAACATTATTTTATCTGCACAAAATGAAAGAAGTGCAACGTTATTTATACAATGCATGAAAAATAACGTCAAATTAACGCTACCAAAACTAACACAAACACGACGCGACGTCTTAGTAAATATTTGACGGGAAATTTTTCCTAGAAATTCTGAAATAAATATTTCAAATCATATATGAAAAAAAAAAAAGATTGTTTCTCAAATTTTCCCATTATGATAGAGAAAGAATAAAAAATATAATGTATATAGGTATCGTAAGACACAAATTTTCAGAAAAAAATGTTTACTGAATGTTGTCCCATGTAACAAACTCAGAACATAAAACTCGTTTTTTTTCGATAAATTCGCGAAATTTTCAGACATCTCTTCGAAATTTTGCATAAACGTTCTATGTCCCAGGGGAAATTTAGTTAATTGGAAGCTTGAAATATTTCAGGTGAAAAATGAAAATTTCAACAGGTGATTTATTAAATTGTATGCACTATCGTTTAGTACTAAATGCAAGCTCCAAAAATTCAAATTATCAAATTAATTAACCTACATTTTCAATTCAAAACAATAGGTTTCCAATGTCTTGCGGAAATGTTCGAAGTGAATTTTCATGCCTTCACAAAACTTTTAAGGCCAAAAAAACAGAGAGTTAATTAATTTTTGTGATGAATATTTTTCGGCTTTGAATACTACAGCAATAAAAAGTACTTTAGAAATTGTAATTGGAACACCAAATTGTTTTAAGATTACAGGTTATCTATAATAAAAAATACGGATTAATGAAAATGTCTTGCATGGTTGTACGTTAACATGATTTGACGCCGCCACAAGCGTAATATGCCAAGGACGTTATGAACTGCATTCGCAAATTCCTTCCTCCACTTACTGTAAATGACCTGCTTTCAACAAAACGATATAATGCACATCATACAAAGAATGCACAGCATTTAAGACAATCGAAATAACTACATGTATTGTCTCTTTTACCACCGCTAGATTAAAATTAAATTCGATGTGGTTTGAATATATAATCCAAAAATATTCTTCAAACACCACAAAATTACTGAAATTAAACTCTAATATCCTATGGTAAATGAAGGTTTTTTTTATGGCACAGGTACAGAGAAAAAGAGGTGGTATTTATAAAAGAGAAGAGAAAAAGAAATGAACAAAAGAAGGAAATCGTGGGCTAAAAACAAGGAACTTTACAACGAATCAAGGCGAGCCGTAAAAAAATAATGACAAAACATTAACAAAGGAGAGGCGAACGAGAACAGAAAAAACAAAGGAAGATTATGGAAAGGGTAAGGAAAAAACGGTTTCGTTATAAATTAAAACAGTCAAAAGAAACAATTTTAGAATTTTATAACACAAATAAACCATTCAAAAACAAAATGGGTCAATGGAGAGCCTTGTGAAAGATTAAAGAATCGCTACCGAAAACACCAGTCAAGCGCGTCGCAATTCTACCTGCAAACAACAAAGATCAGAAATCGCCAACGGTTAAAATTTTGAGAAATATGAATATTATTGCGAGTCCCGAAGATAAAACTGTTGATTCCACGAATTCTAATATAATAAAAAATATTCAAGAAATAATTTCAACTACAAAAAAGTAACGTTCTAAAACAGCAACAACAGTTATGGATATTCTTACTATACCAATAAGTTCAGAGAATATAAGTTAGAAGCACGTTAGTAGATAATTAGGGCTAAACATCAAAAGGTTGAGTAGAGAAAGGCAACATCGAATAATGGCATGCTTCGTGGAGTTTTACAAAACGCAAAACTAGATCAGACGCTTTAAATGATATGCATAAAAAGCTCGTATATGACTTTTGGACCTCTTCTGGTTTGTCTCGGCCTACGGGTAACAAACATGACACTAAAAAAATGATTTTGATTTTTTTTTGATTTTTTGGTGTTTTAACGCCACTTTTAAGCACCGCTTTTGGGCTATTTCGTGGCGGCCAGTTTTTGTTGGTGGAGGAAGCCGGAGTGCCCGGAGAAAACCACCGACCTTCGATAGGAAAACTGACAATCCTAGTCAATTAAGATTGGAGTCGAGTGCACCCGCACGAGCGGGGTTCGAACTCACAACCTCAGTGATGACTGGCTATTGGTAACTACTTAGACCACTTGGCCACCGAGGCCCCCTTAAAAGAATGAGAACTGGTACTAAACA